GACCATACTTAATTTATCATGAAACATGAAATAATGGTAGAGGAAGCTGTGAGGGTTTTTGTTATTACCAATAGGATATAAAATTTAAAGAATGGAGAAACACTGATTCTGATGTTTTTATAGCGCTGGGTAACATTGTGAATACTTTGTAGTGCTTGCATATTACTTGACCATCATTTAAATAATATCCATAGTTGTATTTGTTTGCTATTCTAAAAAATGACAAATGTGATTTTTGTGCCTCACAATCTAATAAATTCAATAAATCTAAAACAGATTAAACATCATTCATCAGGGTACACTGTTCTTACCTTCTGATCTTCTACGTATTGTCTCACAGATCATAACTTTAAAATGTCCTCTGAACTTCATTATGTTGCAAGTAGTGACCTAGCATGTATTCTTAAACAGAACTTTAGACCTTCATTTAAGGAATAACCTGTGAAAATTCTTTTTCTTTTTTAAAGGAAGATCAATGATGTTAGTATGTCACCATCTCATTTATACCATCCTAGCAACTATCCTTATGTACGTATTAGATTTTACTCAATACCTATTAATCTCTATAACAGACAATAAAGTTCCATGGGCTCTCTCAATGAAGGGGTTTATTCTGAGCATTAGTTGATTATTGCAAACATCAGTCAAATTTCTGCTTATCGAGGAAGCATCGAAAGCTCTGGTTGTTGATTCAAAGACGGTGTTCTTCTTTACTTATTACATTATTCAAGACATCAATATCCTCGTTAAGAAAATGCTTTCTAATGGTTTGGGTACGTGAGTTTCACCTTTTATAATGTACTTGGGAATTCAGATATTTTTAGTAAACACTGAGAAGCTTTGAAAGAGTAGAGAGCATTTTTTTTTCCCCCCCGAACACTGAAGCAGTAACTCAGGGGACTTGGGACATTTTATGTCAAAAGCCCTCCCCACCAGCCTCCGTCAGATCAGCAGCCATGGAGTGGCTCTATCTGAAAATGTGTTCCTGTTCGGAAGGCCTTGGCAGAGGGTCACACCTCGCGTATATTTTTGGTCATTACAAAGGGTTGCTGAAGAGTCTGAGATTGAGGAGAGACGCAGAATGGATGTGCTCTGTGCTTGGTGTGGGGACAGAGTTGTATGGCTCTCTCATGCCCCGGCATGAACATAAATACAGCCCATGCCATCCGGCCCCGGAAGGGCAACACCATCTGCTCGGTGGAGATGTGGATTCTGCTGGTCTAGTTTTTATGCTTTACTCTGTCTTGTTAGACCTGGCCTCCATTTGCGTATTATTTTTGCATCCTTCTTGTTTTCTTTTAGATTAATGGAATATTTATTATTTCACATTTTCTACATATAACTTGCTAATTACACATTCTCTCCCTGCATGTTCTATAGTTTTACTAGAGAAGAGACCACGCATTTTTGACTTACTGCATCTTAAGGGATTTTTGTTACTTTGTCCACTTTCCTAATACTGCTAGAACGCTACAACCTCTAAACACATAACCCCTCCTGGCTTTTACAGGTTATCACTGGCGTGCGTTCCTGTTCTACAAATAATTTATAGTCTATAAGACACCCCAAGCATCCAACTTCTATTTACCCTTGGATTTAATTCTGATGTCCTTAATTCTCTCTTAAATTTCAATTTAAAAAAAAATTCAATTTTTCCATCCAAGATCATTTTCCTTCACCTTAAACAAAAATGGGAGACTTCTGATGGCCAATTTCCTCCTTTTTACTGTCTAAAAATATCTCTATTTCACCTTGTGAGGGTTATTTTTATTGACGTAGAGTTTTAGGCTGAATTACTTTCTTCCAGTACTTTACTCTGTGATTTGCTGTTGCCTGGCTTCTGCTTAGAAGTCAACTTACCCTCTCATTGTTGTTCCTCTGAAGGGAATGTGTCTTTTTCCTTTGGCTTTTAGAGCTTTTTCCTTTGTCTTTGTTTTAACAGGATCCTCCTTGTGCTTTTTTACTGCTGGCTATGGCCTGTGTGTGTGTTTGCCTTTTGTGTGGTTTGCTGAGCCTCTTAAGTGTGTGTATTGATGCCCTTTGTAAGTTCTGGAAACTTATCTCTTTGAGGACTGCCTTGTCACATTCTTTGTCTATCTTTTCCTTCTGGAATTCCTTTTATGTGTGTCTGTTCCGCTGTCTCTTCTGTTTGTCCATCATTTCCTCTCTCCTAAGCATTTCATCATAGGTATTTTAAAGTCTTTATCGACTAGCCCTAAATCTGGATCATCTGTGAATCTGTTTTATCCTTCAATCTTTAGAGAATTTCCTTGTCTCTCCACATGTAATTTCTGATCGCACAGTAAAGCTTAGTGGGTCAACAAACTGTAGATGCTGCAGAGGATGCTGTCTACTGGAGAGATTCCAACATCCCGTTAGGAGGCCGAGGCAAGGGAGGACGTCCTCAGTCCAATCACAGACTGAGCCACGGTGCAGAATCAGCCTGCCTCGGCTTTGCCTCTGATCTGCAGAGAGCCTGTGGGTCTTTTTGTTCCTTAGCTCTGGTTGAGTGCAGATGTGCTCCAGCTGTGCATTTCAGAGGTCCTGGCCCGTTCTCCAGGCTGTGCCCCACTCAGGTGCAAAGTCTACAAGTCTCGAAGATGAGACTAATCAGGTGCTTGAGGCTATTCTTCCCCCACCCCTGCCCCCCATCAGATTTTTTGCTTCTGAGGCGCCATGAACACTGTAGGAGATTTCACTCTGCTTTTTGTAAGCTTTTGGCCTAAGGCACCACTCATGCATACAGCTGGAAAACTTAACAAATGTCTCTTGGGGAAAATGGCCATCATTTGAGGGTCCTCAGATTCCCAATCTGTGTCTCTCATCTCCTACAACTGCAACATATTGTACGGTTTCTCTTTCTTCTAGAAAGGGCTCTCTAGACCCACAGAAGAACCCAGAATTGGCAAATGTTCCAGGAGAGGGGGGAAAAAAAAAACAGCTGGTAATTATCGGTTCCGAAAGATTTTCTCCATCCAGAATTTCTGTTTCCCTTGTTCTCAGTTTGCCAGAGCTATCTGATACTCTAAATATCTGATTTTGGTAATTTGTCTCTCTCTCTTTTTTTTTTTTTCATCTTTACAATGGGAGCAGTAACCTGCCATGATCTGCAAAACCCTATGCAGATGTGGAGGTTTCTTGTTTTGCTTTTAATTAGATGAATGTGAAGTTATGTTACTTAACAAAAAGGATATCTCAAGGAAGTTGGGGGAAAAAAATCAACTGAGATGGTAAAAATATTCTTCCATCAATTACATACTCTCTCATAAGAATAAATGCCGTGACAGTATTTTTTGCAGATTGCTACTATGTGCTGAACATGGGCCAAGGAACATATAAATAGGTGTTCAATACCCATAGAGTGAAAGAGATTGCAGCTGAAAGTAGCCGCCAAGTGTACACGAGAAAGTAGAGGAGCTAAAATACAATAGTGAAGGAAGACGGATTACACTGAACCCCGTGTAGGGAAAGGAGAAAGAGGGCATGACATAGGGACGCTGGTCTTTAGCATATATCGGCTCCTGGACAACAGTGTAGAGTAGGACCTCGGAAGACAGACTCTGGAGCCAGTCACCATTTTTCATGTGACTTTGGGCAAACTGCTTTACCTCCTTGTGCCCCGATACCCTCGTCTGCTAAAGGCGAGCTAGCAGTGCTGTGGAGAGCTCTCTGGAGGATTGCTGAGTTAATGTGTCTCAGGTGCTTAGAAAAGTACCTGGTACAGAGTTAGTACTCTAAAGTGTTTATTAAAAAGATATTTTTTACACCCTCCCTTTTATTGGCTCACTTCCTGAACGTAAAGTCAGTCTGGCTTCCATGGGAGCCTTCCCCACAGGGGGATGTGTCATTTCCATGTCGTTCTGGTGCAGTCCCGGAGACTGGAGAAACATACCCTCTCTGGGGCAGGGGGCAGAGGGTATGCATGCTGCTTCAGCCTTGATTCCTGGAGGTCCCTTCAGGAAGAGACAGTCACGGTCCTGTTTTCCACACTTATGGTGTTTTTCTGGTTATCTGTACATTCAATATGGGGGAACCTCCTTTTGCTGGCAGCCAGCTCCAGAAACCTAGTTATGTACTGCGGATATGGGTTTGGCTTCCCGACTTCTGTGGTTTACCCCCATGTCTCGACGTTCTGCCCATTAAGGTGTTGGTTCTTAAACTGGACCGCTGATTAGCCTCGCTGCTTCCGAGTGACTGCTTTCACATAGGAGCCAACCGCTATGCCCTGCTTTCATTTACTGTCGTTCGTTTTGATGGGGAGGCTGGAAGGGGCACCAGAACAAAGCAGGAGGTACTTTGAAAGTGGGTTGAGACGTCTTGTTTCTTCTGAATTCTCCCCAGTATTCCCACTGTGAAGTCCCGCACACTCACTCTAGAATGGCCAGAAAAACGGTAGCCTAAGGAAGCGAGAGGACTAAGCCCATACAATTGCATCATGATGCTCTCCTGCAAAGGTCCCTAAAGTTCCCTCTCTGGGCACAAGATCAGAGAGCAGCCAGGTGCTGGTTGAGATCCCTGCTTTGATTTCCCCCCACAAACTGGAGCATCGTAGTCAGTAGGGTCATACTCCCTTAGAAGATGTTGACTAGTTCTGCACAGATGGGAGGACCCTAGAATCAGGGGAACCTTGAGAAACCCAAAAACCTAAAAACAGCCTCACAGTTGTGATAAATGAGGAAAAAGTGTAGGATGTCATAAGAATGTATATCATAACAGAGGGCAAAGGGCACGCAGACATGTGCCCGCTTCTGGAATCACCTGGAGGTTTATCTCCTTAGCCAGTGTCCCTGCCCTCCGTACTTTGTTCTGTTTGCCGCCTTCACAGGGCAGTTTCCTGCGCTGCTCGAGGGCCGGTTTCCCGCTGCAGCAGCGCCTGGAGGCTTGGTAGCCAGCGCCCCCCCGCCCGCCCCCATCTCCCTCTCCCTGCCCCGTGTGGCTCTCCCTCTCCCCTCTGGCTCACAGCACCTGCTGCTGCAAGTTTCCCCTCTTCCCTCCCGCAGGTAATCCATCAGCTGCGGCTCTCGGAGAACGAAAGCGCCGCCCTGCAGGAGCTCCTGGACTGGAGGCGGAAGCTGTGCGAGGGGACAGAAGACTGGCAGCGCCTCCTGCAGCCCTCGGAGCCCAGGGCGCCTCCCCCTCCGCCCTGCAAGAAGCCCACCCTGGCGAAGAAGCCCGAGGGGGCGTCCTGCGGCCGGCTGCCCCCCGAGCTGTGGGACTCCGGCACGTGAGGGGCCGCGCGCCGCAGGTGCCCGCGCCACCCCGGCCCGGGCGCTTCCCGCGCGCCCCTGCACCGAGCGGCGCGGGACCGGGCAGAGGGCACCGCGCTCCGCGTGTGCGTGCGTGCGTGTTCTTTCTCACCCGCGGGTGGCGCGCACTCGGCTTCTCGGGCCCCGCGACCCACCCCGCCCCCGGCCGCAGGAGCAGGGCCTGGAGCAGCCGGGCGGGGAGGGGGAGCACCGCCAGCGGAACGCGGCAGGGCAGAGGAGGGGCGCGCGCTGGACCGTGTTTCCGAGCGCGACCACGTGTTCCTTGTTCGCCAGGCGCTCTCCCGGGATCCACCCTCCGCGACAGACGTTTGATTTCTTTGTAGGTGGTGTGTTTTGTTGGCATTACAAACCCGATCATTATTTACCTGTTTCTGACCCTGTTTTATAACTTTATGCAATTGGTGGTGCTCCCTTCAAATCACACATTTAAAACAAAAGTTTCTAGACTTTTCTTTCCTCCCACCCCCCTTTTTCCCCCTAAAGGACCTAAGCCCCTCGAGACTGTGTCATTGCTTTAGCTTCGCCAGTGTCAAGCCTGCGCACACGTGGACTGAGCCCCGGGTTTCCGTTCGGCTGGCTGGGGACGCACGTGTCTCTGCTGACGTGCACGGCCAGCTCCTGGCGGCCACCTCCTCCCCCCGCGTCACTCTCGGCTACGGGAACTCAGTGAGGCGCGTGGGGCTTCACGTTCATAGCCGGCGGTGTGACAGGGTCACCTCGGAGGTCCGCACAGTCCGAAGGAGCTTGCGGAGACGTGCCGCTCGGGGTGGTGACGCCGCATCCCAGGGTGGCCGTCCCCTCGGAGCTGCGCTGCATGGCTCACCTGCTCTATCTCCTCAGCCCTCCCGTGACACAACCACCCATTTATCCGTGTGCTTCTGTGGCAGTCAGGAAGTCCTCAGCGGTGCCACCAGACCATGGTGTCTTGCTGCTTGGAACTTTGTGTTCATACCAGCCTCTGAAAAGTCACCATACCAATAAAAGGTGCAGCTACGTTCTCCGGTGGTGGTATTTATTTGCGGCTGCTTCTGTCTCCCTGGCCCGACGAGCAGGGGCAGTGAAGCCATCTCGTCCTCATGGCCTCTGCCTTGCTCTGTGCTCGCAGCCCTCTGCAGGCTTCGGGCGCTAGGGGTTTATTTTAAAATAAAGGTTTTATGATTATTGCAGGTATAACTGCAAGCAGACGTCAACATTAAGAATAATATGTTTGTCACTTAGAAATAATCATAGGCTGCCAGATCCAGAGACGATTTCCATTAAAAAGGTAGTTTCCTATTGTGCCAGGGGAGAAGCCCTGGCTGGGTCAGCCAGGGGCCCGAGGGGCCAGGGAACCCGCGGGACAAGCCTAGATCGTGATGCCCTTGGGAAGGACTGGGGGAGGCAGGGTTTGCAGGCGTAGAATCGGCAAGTTTGCATAATTTCAGGGGCTCCAGGTCAGAGGCTGTCCCCTGGTTGTCTGGTACCTGGCCCTGGGCAGGGGGATGGGGGTGGGGGTCAGTGACTAGAGAGCGAGCCGCCCATGAAGGAGGTGGTTGGGTGTGGGCTTCGGATTGGTTGGTGATGTTTACTATCTGTAGGACTTGACTTAGCGAGGCGGGAGTGGGGTGGTTAAAGCATCGAAATACAGAAAATGAAAAGGCATAGTTAATACACGGTTAACGGGCAACATTCCTGATGCCGTCTAACAGGGAGGCCTTCTGCTCACCTCCAGCAGAGCCCCACACATCGCCTCTCTCCGCACTCTCCCTAACGCCTGACTTTCTAACCTCAGCCACCAAGTGATGGAAGAACCAACTTTCCTTGACGTACATGGCTTCCTTGCCCACGCCTTGCACATTGTAGCCACCTAATGATCCTGGATCAGAAGTCTGGACTGATCTCCCCCCACCCCAGCACACACAGTGTATTTATTTGGACCGGGGTGAAAAGCAAACTGTTCAAGCATTGCACCTTTTGAGGATTTGTTTCCAGTGCGCACTGAACACTTGTTGTACCGCTGTGCAGGTGCTTTGCACACATTATTCCCAACGCAGACGTCGGCCTCCGTGGTGATTACCATCTACGTACTCATCCTGGAATTCAAGCTTTAAGTAGGCTGTCAGAACGTAAACCCTCATCTTTATGGTTCCAAAGTCCGTACCACGTTAACTTGATATGCAGAAATGTTCTGCTTATTATCTCAAAATATATCTTTAAAATCTTCAAACTAAATGACTCCTGGGGGATACAGTGCCATGTGAAACTGAGGTAAGACAGGGAAAACTTATGTGGAGTAGACCGTCCCCAGCACGTGTGGGTCCCAATGACACCGCCCTCTGTTTTGTTAACCTGGTCGCGGTTTAGGGCTTGGGCAGGTGCAGGCTGACCTGTCTGTCACTTGCTAGAGGTACCAGGGGCATCCCGGAGAGTTTATATGGGCTGAGTCTAGGATTCCTTTTGTCTCATCTAATGTTTGTTGACCTTCCAGAGGCAGAGAACCAACCCTTTGAAGACGTTCTAGACCACATTCAGGTGTGTGTTAACCTTACTGTAGAACCCTGTGATTGTACCTGTTCTGACATGACCAGACAGGCAGCAGACTCGAAAGCATGAATAGCCACAATAGTAGAAACAGTACTAAGAGTCCTAAAAATACGAGATAAAGTCCAAATCTGTGTGTGTATTAAAGGTACCCCCGGAATGGTTCTCTAATGATTACAACACTGTCAACAAAATGAACAGAGGTACTATTCTGCTTAATAAAGCACCGAATGTTATTCCACATAAGCAAGATTTCAACAATTATGTGTGTTTGCAATATACTTAATGGTGGTATTTTAATTGCTATCAGACCATAAGGTATGAATTATGACATATTATTGGGACTGAGACTTTGTTTAGCAATATAATTGGTATGAATTATTACCCTGTGTTCAAACACTGCCCAATCTTATTGCTTTTTTAAAAAATGCTTTATGAGTGGTCTCTAAAAACTACTATCAAAATGTTTATAGTGGGTTAAAATGATTTAAAGTGTATTTTCTAGAGTGGAAAAATATATTGTTACTATTCTTAAATTGTGGTACCTAATTTAGTAGAATTATGCTTACATAAATCTACCCAATAAGAGCAACGACCAATTAAAATCTTAGATTTGTAAATGAACATCACATATGAACATTACATAAGTTGGACACAAACTATGTTATGAATTCCACAGTCTAGGAGGACAGATAAATTTCTGTCAAAATTCTATTGGCTGTCGATTTCCAGCAAAATATCCAACTCAGCTCCTGTCACAATAAAGGGCATAAGGTTATTTACATAATGACATTCTGCAGTGGGACACATTTCGCTCTTGGCTATTACTCTGCGCTGCTAATTTTTTCCCCCAACTTTTAAATGTATATCTTTAGCTAGAAGTTAATAGGATTTATTTTTATGTTTATTCTCATCAGGAAATTTTCAACAAAAAACATTAAATTAGCTGGAAAAAAAACAACTGTGTTCCGAGTAAAAGTTCAGTGTAATTTCATTACATTTTTCAAATCGTTTTTAGCGGCACATAAAAAAGCCATGTAATGCAGATGAAAGCAATTATATTTCTATTTATGGTGCAATGGTAAATTCATGGTTTCCCAAAACAGTAGCACTGCTTTCAAAAAACTAAAAATATCTTCTCTCCCCCCATTCTACTTCCTTTACATCTTATTCATAAGCAATGACTTTATCAAACAGATTCTACTACAATGTTCTCCCCATGTGAGTTACAAAGATACTCGTACAGCACAGGGTTGTAACATGCTGAGTTACAGACAGGAAAGAATTACCTTTGTAGTCCCGTTCACTTTCCCTAAGTACTGCAGACCCCTGGGCGGCTCCATTATTGTGGTTCCGGTAAGTTTCTCTAAAATCCAGCATGCTTTGTAAAACTTTAAAGATGAGTTTTTCAAAGGCTAAGTCTTATTAGCTGCCTATAATACATCTCTATCACCTGTTCTAATTTCTCAGATCACTTTCAGATTTAAAAAAAAAAAACCTATTTATACCTAAAATATTTTTTGTATGCTTTGACATTGGCACAGTGTAATCTGGGTTTATGCGGTTTACCTGATCACTACAGTGGCAGAAGAAGACCTTGATGTCTTCTCATAGAAAATATTAAAGGTGAATAAATCTATGCATTCATTTCCATTGTTGCTTCACAAAAGGAATGCATCGAATGTGTCTTCGCTTTGCTTTGAATTAGTCATGGGCTGATAGCCGGCGTATCTGCTGGCTTGCCTTGCCCGATAGCCCCAGGGAACGCGTGAAGCTTCAAAGCAAGGTGCGTGAGCTTGCCCACATGACATTTTCCTGATGTCACCACTTAGCTTCTAAAGTCTAAAGAGAATGAAAGAGAATGAAACTATTGATAAATCCCAAGGGGGAGATCAAAGCTCTAAAGAAAAATGAAATAAAACCAAATTCAATTTGAGGTTTTGATCTTTTAAGATTTCAGCAAACAAAGGGGATGGAGGTCCATGATCTCAAACAATTGGCTTAAAAGTGTATGAATTCTGTCACATTCTGAAGAAAGGTTTTCTTTACTGGACCTATTTTTGGGAATCTGTTCAACTGAATTTAATCACACTGGGTCTTGAGTGGTAACAAGAGGAACGGTGGTTCCCAGCAGAGTCCCTGTTGTGGTTCATCAATATTACTCTTGAATAAAATCACTAATCTTCATATCACAAAAGGAACTTTCTGGCTACCTTGTTCTCTTAAGTCCGTTGTACATTCGTGTGGGTTGTGGGGGAAATAGTTCTCCAGAAAACTTCTCAATTGGTAAACTGCTGTCATTCCCTTGGGCATAGAAGCTGTTATAAAAAGATAACATTCTATATTTTAAAAAGCAAGAAAAATTCCCTGGCAGGAGAGAAGAGACGCCACGGGAAATCCACATAGTAATGGCCTCGGCTCCTGAAGGCTGTCAAGGGTCAGGAAGGAGGGAATTGGAGGTGACATTGTCTCATTACTGATCACCAGGAACACTTACCTTTCAGCCTCATGAAAACAAACCTTACAAAGACAGAAGACTTAGTGCCAAGAGCATTCACAGGCCAAAAGTTTGCCCAGAGTGACTCAAAGAAAAAACTCATTAAAGGTACAAGTTGCTACGTCTCCCCGCCTTACTCCGGTAGTCGGCGTTTGGCCCTAGTGAGTCTCCAACCCTACCTATGTTTATTCTCAGGTAGGCTAACTATTTCAGCCAACAACCACAGAAGCTAGTGGCTCCACACAATAGACTATTCTAGGTTTCTCCCTTACGTCACAGTCCGACACATGTTGACCCCAAGAAGTCGTCCAGAGACCAAGGGTTCTTCTTCCTTCTCACGTCTCCGACCTCCTTGTGGCCTGTGGAGGACTTCTTGTTCAGCCAGTGGGTGGAGGGGAGCGAGTCACAGCCCGAGAGAGGCTCGTGTCACTTCTGCTCATATTCCATTGGCCAGAACTCAGTTGTGGGATGGCAAGATGGGAAATGGTCCTGCTCTGTGACCCAGAGGAAGGGGAAATCATTTGGTGAACAATTACCCAGTGTCTGTCCCACTGTGTGAGGTAGGGAACTCCTAGCACAAATAGCTAAAATCTATTTTCTATCTCCTTTTGTGTTCAGAAGTCACCTAGGGCAATTTGCCGTCCACCAACCATGAGTGCAGGACCTCCCTCCGCCCAGCCACCACCCACTCACCTTTCCCCATGTCCCACGATAAACTGTCCTTGGCCACCCTGGAAGCTGATGCAGTGAGGAGGGGTAGGGGACAAGAGGAGAGTTGGGAGCATTCTCACTTTTTGCCTGGTGGCTTCCACTCCGGGTCTGACAGCGGGACAAAGCTGCCATCCTCTTGTGCGAGACCTCCTGCTGGTCTTCTCTCTCACACCTGGGCACATGGATGCAGTTCTGTGTCCACGGCTGCTAGCAACACTTCCCGAGCCCTTGGACATCGGGAGAGATGCCTCTCTTCCCTGAGGTCTCCCTAATCTCCATAGGAGACTCCATCAGATGGTGCTCTTGGCCTCTCAAAGTGTTTGTCTAAGGACCAGCCGCAATGACATCACCGGGAGCCCCACCCCCAGACCTGCTGAATCAGAGTCTGCATTTTAACAAGACCCGCAGGTGATTCGTGTGCTCTGGAAAGCCTGAGCGACATGCCGTGGACTCATTCGTGCTGGCTCCCTCTGTGGGACCATCTGCATCTTTATCATTCTGAAGCCAGGGAAATCATGACTCAAGCTTGTCAAACCGTCTTCTATACTCATTGGCAGAGTGATGTCACCAAAGATTTCCTCCAGGTAAAACCGAGCGCTGAGAGTTATAATTTGCCCTAGACCAGGGACCCGGTCACTCACTCCCTCTGCCGTCCTAGGAAGCCTGCCATTCTTAACTCCAAATGTCTTCAGAGATGCAAGTACCCACCAAAACGTTCTACAAATGTGCTCACTCAGTCTGGTTTCAGAGAGGGTCAATAATGAGAAGACAGGTTCCAAATTACTTGTTTGTTGCAGGGGCATTTCTAACAGTCTTTGTCTTCTGTCTCTTGTGCTCGCACTTTCGCTCTGATCTGGGGTGCCGTGACACCCTCACAGGTGACTCTTCATATGTCACTAGTTTATGGTTTTCAGCACAACTTCATCATTCTAAAGAATGCAGCTGATGCTTGAACAACGAGGGGGTTAATGGTGCCCACCCCCCTACATAGTTGAAAACCCATGTATAATTTTTGACTTGCCCAAAAACTTACCTACTGATAGCCTACTGTTGACCAGAAGCCTTACTGATAAGAGTCAATTAACATATTTGGTATGTTCTTTGTATTATATACTATATTCTTACAATAAAGTAAGTAAAGAAGATGTTATTAAGAAAATCGTTAAGAGAAAATGCATTTATAGTACTTCACTCTCTTTATCAAAAAAAACATCTGGGGCACATGTGTGGCTCAGTTAGGCATCCGACTCTGGTCTTGATCTCAGGGTCATGAGTTCAAGCCCCGCACTGGGATCCACATTGGGTGTGGATCCTACTTCAAACAAACAAACAAACAAAAAACATCCGCCCACAAGGGGACCTGCACAGTTCAAACCTGTGTTGTTCAAGGGGCAACTGGAGTTTGCTTTATGCTTTAAGTCACACTGATATTTTCATTTACAACTATTCCCAGTTCAAAGTTTCCATCTTCAATTTGTTTACAGGTTTTTACATTATACTTAACACTGAATTGGTTTGGATTTCCATCTTTTAAATCAAGAATAAGCCTTCCCATGGCTCCTGCCAAGCCATTAATGCCAGGTGAAATGAAGCGAAAACCAGTTTGCTCTCGATGAATTCAATTGACGTGTGGTCTGTGCTTTCAGTATCATCTCTAAATAGGAAAACATAATGGCACCTTTTATCCTGAGAAGCACACCACTGGAAAATAAGTCAATGTGAGAATGCTCCAAAATTTTAAACTGCCCATCCAAAGAGCAGACTCTTCCAAATTTTACTTCTTGAATGCTTTCTCATAGCCTACATTGTCCTTCTTTACCTCGCTCTGTGACGCTCTTGTAACCTCTCCACTTCACCATCTTCAGGAGAGTACAGGTCTCATGTCCAGACTGTGGACTGGGTAATTCATTTGACAGCAGTGGCGGTGGCTTGTGGCGACAGCGTCCCCACCCCCTGCCATGGGGCTGTGCTTGGGGTTGCAGAGCTGGGTGAGAGCCGGGGCTCCTGGGTCCCCTCTACAGCAGGGGAGGTGGGCGAGCGGGAGCCGTGGAAAGGGAGTGTCATTGCACTCTTGTCTTGGGTTAGCCGTGAGCGTGAGAAAGACACGGGGTAGTTAATATGCTCCACCTATGTTTTCAACTGGGAAGCAGAACTCATATTTTGGTGCCAAATTCATAGAGAAGCCCATTGAGATTTTCTCTATGAAGATGCTTTAATTTTATGCATGGTTCACCTGAAGCAAGTTCATTTATTGAAAATTAAACATTTTTTTGAAGCCCCTCCTCTGCGTATTTGGCCTTGAATGTGTGATCCTGTTCAAACGGATACAATTCCTGCTCCTAGGAGGTTACAGTTTGGGGCAGAAAAGCAGTTAGATGAATAACTCCACGTATAACTATTTAAGGTCAATGTCATGAAGTGCTGTGAAGGCAAAGTGCAGGTTACTGCAGAACTCTAAAGGAAAATCTAATTTGCCTAAAGGAGTGATGGAAGTCTTTCCTAAAATAGTATTTATATTGAAACATATTGAAGCAGCTACAGGATGAGAAGAAGAGTCTGTCCCTCAGAGGCCACGCGGGAGGTAAAAAGCCTCGGGAACGGGAGAGACAGCAGATGTAGGCATTCGGAGAAAGGACCCTTCCCGTCCAAGTGCTCGCAGTGCTAAGCCTCTACCTCCCCTATGGCACCTGCCAGTGGGTATCACAATCTCCAACCTTCCCACTAAATCGCGGGGACTTAAAAGACCTTGATATTCCTCAGACTCCAATCTTTGGCATAGTGGACATGGCCACCCACGACTGACCAATGAATAAATGAAATGATGCATAAATGAATGATATCTTTCTGCTCCTTCCCAAATCCCTAAAAATAATATAAAAACATTTTAATACCTAAATCATGATATAGGGCTTTTAATGGACCGGAAAATGGGAGAAAGTCTTGAAACATAGAAGAGAGTGACAAAGGAATTTGGAAAGGAAACCACAGCCTAAAATGGGTAAAATAGGATTTGGTGTCAGAACCTATTATCTTCCTATGGATAAGTGTCAGAACGTGAAAACTGCTTTCACCTGTCATGAACCTGAATATGCTCAACAATAAAAGACGTGGAATATGTACATCTACCATATACAGTCGGTATGAAGTAAAATGGTACATGTGGAGGTAGTTTGTGAATTGTGTAGACATTGGTTATCTGGAGCCGTGGCTTTGTTACCTAACCCTCCATGGATCTTTACATACGAAAAGAATACTTAAGTTTAGCTTTCCGTACATGATCTCAGACAGTCCTGAGGTAAAGAAAGAAAAAGAAGAAATACGTGTCCCATTTGTTACTCTATTTTACCTCAGGAAAGATAGAACTAATGGCCAGTACCTGTGATGTGCAGAGAGTAGGAGTCTGGTATCCACTCATTCACACGGAGCCCTGGACAGAGCTATAGGGATCTAGGTTCTGTGCTGGCTGAGTAGGTTAGCGTGCCTTTTCTTTTCTTTTGTAATGTCAGGTGTGTGTGTGTGTGTGTGTGTGTGTGTGTATTGGGGACAGGGAAGGCAGAGGATGTCTAGTAAATTCCTAAGTGATTATTCTAAAATGCTATGATTCTTATCATAAGATAATTGACATTTTTGAAGAAAAGAGATAGAAGAGCTAAGAGATTGCTTTGGCCCAAGCAGGAAGTATAAAAGCGATGGTAGACCCCAAAGGAAGGAAAGGCATGTCTCTGGTCAGACAGAAGAGGGATGCTCATTCAAGGCAACAAAGTCAATGTTAAGAATATGCTCATAAGTTTAAAAAAAAAAAAAAACAAGAAAGTGTCTTCTAGGATTAACTGTGCCAGAAACATGAGGAGACTGTCTTCAGAGTGGCCGCTAACACTTATCCCCCAGACGTGGCGTCTCTTTTCGAGTGATGAAAATAAAAATCATTTGGAATTGGTAATCAAGCCCCTTCCTACCAATGTGACAGTGTTAGACCTTGCCTCGGGCAAGCCCAAGGAAAAAGACAAAGAAACACAAGGAATTCAGAGTGCCAAAGCTTATCAAAGTCAAAACGGTATCTTTTTAAAATGGCAAGTAAGGTTGAAAAGATGATTTAATAGGAAAGAACATCGAACCTGACCAAGTGGGGAATTTCGGAGAAACAGGGAGGCTCTGAAGCGCGTACTCCTTTCACATTTGTGATGGTTGCCAAAGGGTCCTTGGAAATCTAAAATCGTGGCAAGAACTGTAAAGTGGAAATTTAAAGTATTAGTGTGTGAGTGTGCATAAAATCTAGGAGATCCTGAACATAAGGGAATTGGAAAGGCCCAGAGCCACTGTCCCATTGCACGTGTCCAATACAGAGAATATTATTAAAACTGACACAGAACTAGTCAGACAGTACACCTTGTTTTTTTTTTTTTTTCAAGTTAATTTATGATGTGTTTGTTTGGTCTCTAGTAATCTCTCCCCCCTGATTATCCTGAGGGGGTAGAAAACCAGAGTGAATGGGTTCCTAAGTAAGATTTCCAAAGGGTATATACATTAGCTCACTGATACAACCAATCAGTATTTTTGAGCACTTACTAAGTGGTATGCTTACAGTGGTCCCAGGGTTTACAGAAACAATACAAGAAGTCCAGAGCTCCAGGTCTTGAGTGTATAAAAATCTGGACCATGGAGTAAATGGTCCAGCAGCAATAAGGCTTAAAGCATCAAAATCCAGCCGTTCTGAGAACAGGTGGGTTGGAGAAGATAGTAAATTAATTATAAAACATGGAGGAGAGGAGGGTGCCTCCCCACTTCACCATACGCCATCAAAACTGGGAAAGGGCAGCAATAAATGAAGACTACTGAGATGGGTCAGTGTAAAGAGCCTCACAGAAGACCTGCAAAAATTCTTACATTTTGTACGGCAGATGTAGAATAATGTCCCTGTGCATCAGCAACTGGGGAAATGCATCAACACCGAACAAAGGAGCAAATGATTTGATGTCATCTCAGGGTTTTTTGTGTTTTACTGGGACCTTTGGTAGCTCCCATTCACTCCTTCATTTGACCCTGCCAGGGCACCTACTGTGTTTCTCTGGGTTCCTAGGTAGCAACAGAAACGCTCCTTCTGATCAGATGGGAGTCTGGGGCCAGCGGAGGGTAGGACAGGCATTGCGATGCAATGACCCCGAGTACCGGGGTGCAGATGGACTCTCTGCAGTGGATCAGCCCAGCACGAGGGGAACCAGGTTGCCGCCTGCCTCGCTGCCTGTGTCGGAGGGTGGTCCCAGGGCACACACCTTCCTTTGAATCAGCTGTGGGTCACCACCAGCCTGTTTCCATGAGGTCATTTCTTGTTCATCATCCATGAAGATGTTTGCCCACAAGCCCTGGTAAGAGCACAAAGGACAGAAGGCCCTCAAAAGGAGAAAAGAAAACACAACAGAGCCAGCCCGCATAGTTTCCATGTCACAATCCCCACAGCCTGACATTCCGTTCTCGTCGATGAGGAAACAATATAATGTACAGTCCTGTCACCATAGCTATTAATAACTTGGATGACTTCCAGAGCCGCATGGGTACAAGGGAATATTCTGTCCTTAGTAATCACATCACTGTTTGGATGTTTTCTTTCTGAGACCATGCCTCTATGTCTCCTGCCTGCCACGTGTGAAGGTTCTAATTTTCCAGTCACACATAAGCCCTGATTAGTGGTGATAAGGCAGTAAGTGGGACCGAATTTTTTTAAGCGACTTAGAAAACCACAAAGAACTCTGAGTCCCAAAACACTCTATTAGCACTTTCCAGTCCTATTTTAGAAAACAAATGGGAAAAATGTAAAATGGGGTGGGTTGGGAAGGTTTTTCATCAAAGTGTAGCTGTAATTTTAAGTAGGAGTTTTGTACTTAAACCCCCTAATGGCAAGCATGATTAAGAGAAGCTTGGCTTTACTGTTTACAGCAAACCTTGATTAAATACAAACAAGCTAATGGAACAAAAAGAGAGAGAGAGAGAGAAAGAAATCTCTTCCAGAATGCCCTCCGGCCCTTCCCCGGAAGAGCCATCCTGGAGGAAAACAGACAGGAAGCGTGGAGTTGGCCATCTGTTTCTCCTCTTTCCTCCTATTTTCTCCCATCCTTGGTCCGTCTGGACAATTTGCCTGCTCTAGCCTATCTTTTGAGTTTCAACTTTTCAAAAAGCAGATACCACAGCAACCTACTTTATGTTCAACATCTATCACTGCGGGCCTTCTTAATGTTAAAGAATAGTAAGACTCATGATTGCCCTGTGACTCTCCGAGACTTTTTTTTTTTTTAAGTGAGGAAGGTGGAGCTGTCTCTGTCTGAATTTTCCTCTAAACCTTCGATACCAGGTGGCCAGGAGCATGAAGACGGGACAGCAGGGAGAGGGGACAGGTGATCACACACTTCTTTCCTACTCCCTTTCCCCCCTTCCCTTCTGTTCTTGCTTCTATAAAAGGGGTGAGCACACGGCAAGCATCACATAAACCAGCAGCAGAAAAACAAAAATAATTCATCTGTCGAGAGGAAAGAGAGAATGTGTTATGGCTACAGCAAAGTGAGTAAGGAGTGGAAGGTGGGCAGTAAATGGGACCTTGTTTCAGAAGGTCTGATTCTGAGCTCAGGGAAGAGGTGCAGAGTGTTTGAGAGGCAGAGCGTGAAGGGGAAAGTAAATAACACCCTTGACGGCAACCCAGGTGGCATTTCATTTGGGGATAAGCCAGCAGAGAGGTAAGGCTAAAGGAAGCAAAGTAGGTGTCTTTTCACAACTCGGAGAAGAGTTGTGGGACAGCTGGTTCTTACAGAAAATAGTTCTTATATTTAAGAAGGAGGTTCCTGAGTGTGCTCTAGATTAAGCTGCAGCTTTACCGCCTCTCCTCCTCATCTTCCTCCTCATTTTCCTCCTACTCTACTCCTTTTCCTTCTTCTTCATAGGGCAAGAGATAGGAGTTAAGTGTCATCACCACCTACTGCATAACATTCATTCAAAATGAACTTTCTGGGGTGTTTGGGTGGCTCAGTTGGTTCAGCGTCTGACTCTTGGTTTCAGCTCAGGCCGATCTCAGAGTCGTGGGATCGAGCTCCACGTTGAGCCCCACACTTGGGCTCCGCCCTCAGCACGGGCTCTGCTTGGATTCTTTCGCTCTCCCTCTGCCCCTCCCCCTGCTCTCTCTCTCTCTCTCTCTCTCTCTCTTTTTCAAATAAATAAATCCTTAAAAAAATGAACTTTCTAATTTCAAGAATTTGAATTAAATGAATGAATTAAATACATAATAATAAGTAATAACATATACTACAATGAGATACTAATAGTTTTACTAGTATAATTAACATATTGTATGTAATGTATAATGATAAAATAATTAATTATTAATTACTTGAATTAATTCACATTGAATTAAAGTGAACTGTCTCCTCTGCCCTTCTTTTTTACCTGACAAAGTTGCCGGGCCATTCATGACTGTTTATTTGGAAGTGTACCATTGTGAAATCTTGTAGTATGTGCGAGGTGGCATTTTGCCGTGGACATACTGCTATAAGGTTAAAATGTATGCCATACACCCTAAAGAAACCGCTAAAATAACAAATTAGGTATAAATTTTATATCCAATAAAGCAACATAAGGGATGAAGTGGAATTATAAAAAATACTCAAATCACAAGAAGGCAGGAAAAAAGGAGAAATGAAAAAAAGAACAGATGAGACAAATAGAAAACAAATTGAGAGATGGTGCGCTTAAACCTTACCATGTCAATAATCATACTACATGTAAATGCTCTAAATACCTCAATTAAAAGATCGAGATTGTCACATTACACACAAAAAAATCCAAGATCCAACCCTATATTGCATTTTAAAAATGCACTTTAAAAATAGACACACAGGGGTGCCTGGGTGATGCAGTCGGTTGAGTGCCCAACTCTTGATCTTAGCCCAGGTCTTGATTTCCGGGTTGTGAGTTCAGGTCCTAAATTGAACTCTGCACTGGGCATGGAGCCTACTTGAAAAAAAAAGAAAATAGACACACAAAAAAGTTAAAAGTAAAACTATGGAAGTACATTATACTAAAACTAATAGAAGTAAAACTAGAGTAACTACATTAATATCACACAAAATAGATTTCAGAGCAAAGAATACCAAAGATAAAGTCATTTCATGAAAGACTCAATTCACTAAGAGTATATAATAGTTCTTGGGGCATGTAGCTTGTTCAGTCAGTAGATCATGTGACTCTTGATCTCAGGGTTGTAAGTTCGAGCTGTGCATTGGGTGTAGAGATTACATAAAAATAAAATCTTAAAAAACTAGTATATAATAATTCTAAAAGTTTATGCACGTAGCAATAGAGATTATGAATATGCAAGAGTTACAAATCACATATTGAGGGCGCCTGGGTGGCTCAGTTGGTTAAGCGACTGCCTTTGGAGCGACTGCCTTCGGCTCAGGTCATGATCCTGGAGTCCCGGGATCGAGTCCCACATCGGGCTCCCTGCACAGCAGGGAGTCTGCTTCGCCCTCTGACCCTCCCCCCCATGTGCTCTCTCTCTCATTCTCGCTCTCTCAAATAAATAAATAAAATCTAAAAAAAAAAAACAAATCACATATTGATAAAGGATGTGTGTTCAGAATGTTTAAGAAACTTTTTTATACACAGTAATCAGAAACCAAACAACTCAATACAAAAAAATGGGCAAAAAATATTTAAACAGACACTGTACCAAAGAGGGCAAATGAGTGACCAATAGGTACGTGAAAAGATGCTCCACATCATTAGCCGTTTGGAAAAGTAAAACCACAATATGATGCCCCTACATACCAATTTCAGTGGCTAAAATGACAAAGATTGATAATATCAAGTGTTGGTGGGGATGTGAAGGAACTTGTACCGTCATATGCTGCTGTTGGGGAAGTAGAACGTCGTAACCAGTTTGGAAAACAATTTGGAAGTTTCTGAAAAATGTGAACGTACATTTCTCATGTGATCCAACCCTTCCACTCCTCTGTATTTCCCCAGGAGAAATGAAAGTGGATGCCCATACAGAGACTTATAGATGAATATTCATGGTAGCTTTATTTGTAATAGACCCAAACTGGAAACCGTGCACATGTCCATCAACCAGTGAACAGATAAACAAATGGCAGTGCATCTGTACAAAGAGATACTGCCCAACAATCAAGAAGGGTGAAGCGGACACACACCACCACATGGGTGACAAAGTCATTATGCTGGGAAGGAAGATGGACAAAAATGTACAAAATATATGATCCTATATACATACACTTTAGAAAATGCAAACTAATCTATAGTGACAAAGTCACGCAATGGGACATGAGGATACTTAGAGGGCTGATGGATATGCTCGTTATGATGATAGTTTTGATAATTTCACAGGCATCCAGACACGTCAGAACTTATGAGATTATACACTGAATAGATGCAGTCTAGTACATGTCAGTTATACCTAAGGAAAGCTCTTTCAAAAAGAAGAGAGAAAGTTTAATTATGGCGCTTTGGAAGAGGTGAAAAGTCGAATTCTCCATCTTTAGTGGTTTCACAGCAAATATTCCTCTTCACATCTGTCTCTCTCACTGGAGTTCCTAAAGATTCAAGCTTGTATCCCTGTGCCTAGCAGAGTGACTGTCACATGACAATTGCTCAGTTAATTCTTTTAACTTAGGTATCAGCCAAACAATTATCAAAGCTTAGTCTCCAGTGGTCTCCAAGGTCATGAGACAATGCCAGGTAGAGGGCAAATGCAAGGTTGTGAACACACCAGCCGATTCAATGCATCTTACCTTTGGTCAAGGAAGCTGAATCACCAGGATGTAATAAACCTTCCTATATAACAAAGGATTTGTTTTAGATATTTAACTTCAGGCAACTGTAGGAGCTGGGGAAACATTTAATGGAAAGCTGTTTCCCTGAGTTCTGGGGCTGCAGCTTGAAGTCAGCAGAGCAAACAGGAAAGGAAACCGAGTGAGGACAACAGGACCTACTGAAGCAGCCAGGGCAGGGAGGCCCCAAAAGGACAGACGGGAATCTTTCCCTTTCTCACGGCCTCTAATCCTCCACCTTTAATGACAGGGATGTCCTTCAGGAGAAACTCACCCCTTTGTCATATAGAAAAAAAAGAAAATGGGGCGCCTGGGTGGCTCAGTTGGTTAAGTGTCCGGCTCTTGGTTTCCGCTCAGGGTCGTGAGTGAGATGGAGGCTCACGTCAGGCTCCACGCTCAGTGTGGAGTCGGCTTGAGATTCTCC